AGTATTGTCGGTGGAAAATCACAATTACATAAATCTCATTAGTGTTTTTGTTTTACTGTGATTCATTTCAATTATTTGTTAGTTATTAATATGCTTAAACTTAGATACTTAAGTTAAGTTTACTTTGTCATCATTTCTGTCGTTAAGTTTCACCTTGCAAGTAAATAAAACCGAGTAATTATCATTCTGTGTTTTCTTCTTCAACTTATCACAGCAATAGTGACAACAATTAGGTAATCATTGGCTGTCACGGGCCAGATTGATAACAGTAAATCATTGGCTGTCGCGGGCCGTAGTTTAGAGACCCCTGATCTAAAAGATACTTTAGTTGTCCACTCATTTTCAAAATTAAGTTGAATAGATTTTTACTTCTATTTGCCTTTGAATTCATATGTTCAGTGTTCCTTTGATAAAAATAAGAAATTTTATTGTTGCAAAACTAATATACATATATTTTCAGGGTGATATATCACGAGCTAGTACAAACAACAAAAGAATATATGAGAGAAGTAACTACCATCGATCCAAAATGGTTAGTTGAATATGCCCCTGCATTCTTTAAATTCTCGGATCCAACAAAGCTGTCCAAATTCAAGAAAAACCAGAGGCTGGAGCCATTGTACAATAAGTACGAAGAAGCCAATGCTTGGAGAATATCAAGAGTGAGAAGAAGAAGAAACTAATTTTTATCAATTCATTTTTTTATTGTGTGTGTGTTAATGAAAGGTTTGTGAATTTTGTGTATATAGATATTATTTATTTTAAATATATATTAAGAAATATCAATGTTGAACAAAATTTATGTAATAAGACATAATTTTCAGTTCTGACAATTAGAAAAACAAAAGTCTAGCATCATTTTTTTCGCTGAGAGGGTACTATCGACTTTTTTCAAATGTATCACTCGCCAAGTTCAAGTGATGCTGTATTTATTGATTGTTTGGAGGAACTATTTTCTTAAAGATAATTTCATACTGTTGGGTAATGTTAATATTGATTATGCAGATAACAATTTTTTTTATAGCAGAAAAATCAAAAATTTGTTAAATATGTATTGTTTTGCTCAAATAATGACGCAGTATACTAGAATTACAATATATGCAAAAAACCCTAATAGATTATGTTGTAACTAACGATGTTCAAGTATCTGTCTTCGTACGCGTAAGATAACTGATCATTACTGATACTTTATTGTCTAAGAATAACTTCTTATTGACAAAGTGTCATAAGTAATCATTAAAGTAATGAAGGTACAAAATACAAGTAAGCATAAAAGTGGAAGTATAAAAATTATAAAATTAGTCGAGACGAATAAGATGAGATTAATGTGTATAAACAAATAAGTCGCAAAAAAGTAAAACAAGTCTAACAAAAGTAAAAACATGCGCCCGAGGCGCTCATCAGTCTACTATACAAAACTATAAGGTAAAATACAAGACAACAAAGACAAATCATCAGTTTTACATTCATTGATATCTGTCAGTGTTTCAAATCTAATATAACTATTCCTGAAAAAAATCTGTTAGATATATCACTTCTGAGACATATTCAAACATAAGTATTGAACTGATTGATCAAACATGGCTATTGAATTCAATTGATGTTAACGAATTCCTGAATGAAATATCTGATAAAACTAAAATAATTATGGATAATCTTGCACCTGAACACACTGTCTCAAAGTAACATAAAACGTTACCTTACTATGACGTGGATTAGAAAAAAGCTAAGAAACTAAACACAATTTATAAAACATTCAAAAATAATTACAACTCACCTCAGCGAAATCAATTCCGGGAAAACTATAAAATTGTTAGAAATCAGTATGTCAAAAAATAAGAAAACACTTTTTTATGAACAACAAATTGACTCGAATCGTAATAATCCAAGACAAATGTGGAAACATCTTATATGAGTAATAAATCCGGTTAACAATAATAAAATGAATAAAATCATCTTTCGTGAAAACAGATCAATAATAATTAGTGGAAATGAGCATGGGATAGTTGAGAATTTCAATAATTACTTTGTTAGTAGTATCCCGCAATCTGAGGAATGGTCATGCACAAATTATAAAGTTATAAACAGTTCTTTTTCTAAACTTAAACTTAACCATGACTGAACTGCGAAAGATTATTCATTCCTTAGACAATAAAAACTAGTCTGAAGTACTTGATAGCAAATTTTTAAAGGAAACATAAGAGGTATTTGGGTATGTGATATTAAACTTTGTAAATACATCTCTGGATAAAGGAATATTTCTGAATCAACTGAAAATAACTTCTGTTATTCCTACACCAAAGGTTAGTAATACAATTGAAGCAAGCAAATTTCGCCCAATAAATAATTGGTCAACTTTGGAGAAAGTCCCCAAACTAGCAGTTTATGAACAATTAGTTGCATACTTTGATAATAATCAATTATTCTTAGGTCAACAGTCAGGATTTACAAAAATCATTCCTGCGAATCAGCTAATCAATAAACTTTCTCTAGATGGATATACTATCTCTAGCTGGAAAAATGCGTATGATGAGAATAAATACACTGTAGCTGTCTTTCTTGACTTCAAGTGAGCATTTGAATCAATCGACAGAAATATCTTGATAAAAAAGTTGAATCGTTATGGGTTAACATGCTCTGTGCTGGCTTGGTAACTGGTAACACTACCTTGGAATATGTGTCTGAAATGAAGTATCTGGGAGTTATTGTAGACAACACAGTCATGCTGAATATGTTAAAAAATATATATATTTTCTAGAACAGCAAATAATTTGTTGAAAAAGTTATTCTATAAGGGACTACGGGAATTTAACAATTTAGTAAATGCCATTAAAGAGGCATATAAGGGGGTTTAAAAGTAAATTATTGGAATACTTAGAGCGTTAGTTGGTTGTAAAATATGTATATAGTGTGTGTTACTATATCAATATTTGTTTTCAACATTGGTTCTTATAAATTGTGTATCTTTTTTATTAATCTTTTTACCTATTTTATCTTTATTATCTATATACCGATTTGAATGTTATTAATATTTTTGGCACTGTATGGAAATTTAAATTTGAATTATTAGTTATTATATCTTGTAAGATTAGGATATATCTATAATAAAGATTACTACTAACAATGAATGGAAGATCTTGTGATATCTCAGGGTTCAGTATCTGTTTTCTTCTGTTCTTCATGTACATGAATGATCTATCAACATGAAAGGCAAATTCACTATGTTCGCAGATGATAACACATTGGCAAAAAAGTGAATCAAGCAACATTTCAGAGAATATAACTGAAGTTTGAGATTAAATATTTTTGGGGAAGAAGTTTTTTAGCTTTCTACTTCTCCATCATTGAAGAAAAAAGGAAAACTGAAGAAAAATTCTTTTTGATTTCCATTTTAAAAAGCATTGAGAATCTTGATCGTCTCGCCTCATTCAAGTTTGGCTAGACATGTCACTGGAGAATGCTACCTTTCTTTTCCTGAATCTCATTAGCATTGCCACTAGAGATTGATGAAAATCAAATCCTGCTAGAAAAGGCCTCTTTGAGAGAAAATTAATTCGAAAGTAGCGATTCACATTGGATTTGAATCGCTGTTCTCAGGAACTTTATTCCACATAAACGCAGTTGTTCAAATGAATGAGTTCTTAAACAGTGAAGTTCGAGGTGTAGCGAGTTGAACCTCAGAATGATGAGCAGCCACAGTTCATCGCGTAATCTTTGACTTGCTTTTTAGTAACTTGATATTGTCTTGTCTTTCAAAGTAGTCCAACTTTATATTTATTTCCAAGTTTTTCACTGTGTTTCCCATAATTTTTATCTATCTGTCATTAAATAAGAAAAAAATCTCTTTCTATAAGTGTCTCGTTAATAATATCTAGAAATTGAGTAATGGAACTTTTGAAGTACATGGCACAGGATTTGGATAATTGCTTCCGGATACAAATTTGGAAATTTCACAATTTTGAAATGTTTCTGAAATAGTTTGCAGGTCAAACATTCAAATTTTTCTATTCTTATCTTCTTATTTTAAATTTTTTGTCGTTCTTTTGCTTCAAGGGCAACTCTAATTCTTTGACTGTTGGCACTGTTTCTAGAAAGTTTAGATTTATATGACTTCGATCTGCCGATGGAATTTGTCTCTTGATGAGAAGGTTTCATAGTCTTGGACAATATCATCAACTTTGTCGGTATCTGTCCTTGTTAGGACAGGTTTCTAGGTTTGGCTCAAGACTAGAAGAACGATGCCCAAGTGCATGAAGTGAGCCCGAAACAGCTAAGCATGTAATAGATTGATGTTTGGACGGAGAGTTGGCTGGAGAGAATGGAAAGAGAGAGAGATGTGTAGGCTGCGAGGACAAAATGGAATAGAGAACGAATGGATTGCATTCGTTAATGAATGGGCAGACCAAATGGTGAGGGATGAAAGAGTAGATTAGAGGTACCAGGAAAGTAATCGACGATGACGCTTACAGTCTCCTTGACCGAGATTGAGGAACCAACAAGATTGTAAACATATTTTTTGTTCTAGTCATAAAATTCGGGTTACGCCATATAGGGGCCTTCAAACAACAATCAAATTCAAAAAAGTAGGAGTATTTCTTTTATGTAATTTAATAAACTTCAAAATCAACGGTAACAGTGGTTATGTTAGTTATTACATAGATGTTAAAATACTGCCACGCCAATAATTAGTTTTTATGTATGATACATCACGTAACATTGAGAGAGATGCAAAATAGTTCAAGATTATTGTTCTACTTCATTTGAAAATGCACGAAAGCCATAGTTTTATCCAACATGCTACATGTTTATACGAAATGAAATTAATTGACGGAAAGCTTTCATTAAATGATATAATTTATTCAGATAACTTATATGGCTGGCCAGGACTGCGCTTCACAACAATAAGTTAGTAGAGTAGGTACCTCCCACAGTGAGGTGAATGTATATTTTTTCATTTGATGTTGATAGCCTTTTATTTTATTTTTTCCGAATAATATACTCGATTTTTGTTTTTGATTATTAATTTTGCTCACTGGTTGAAGGACTTCATCCACATGGGCATCGTTCTTCGAGTCTTGAGCCAAACCTAGAAACCTTAATGTCCTAACAAGGACAGATATCGACAAAGTTGATGATATTGTCCAAGACTATGAAACCTTCTCATCAAGAGACAAATTCCATCGGCAGATCGCGGATGGGTCGTGGTTTGGCGAAGCAGAGTTGAAGGGGTTTTGGTGGCAGTGGTAGCGTTAGTTAGGGGGGTTGTTTTTCGCTCAGTTAAGGATCTTTGGGCTAGATAAGGCACTTGCACTTTGGTGTTTACTCTTCTGATTAAGTGAACATAGCCTAACCCTAATATATTTATTGTGTGTTAACAGATTTGAAATCTAAGGAAGAACAAATAAAATGAAAATGAGTGAAATGTTGGATTTATTTAAAATATTAAATTACTGGAACGAAATACTTGAAAGTGGAGTATATCAATTCAAAGAAAGTAAGAACATCAAGTTTTGTAAAGTAAACGAATTATTGTGACCTGAAATGAAAATGAATTAATAAATAAGTTAAATGTCAAATATATATCAACAAAAATGTTTCGATATTTATAGCAGGGGAGCCCACGATGCAAAATGGGGATTTACTCGAGCGTCATTGAGACATATTAGGTTGCAAAGTTTAGATGATAAGAAGAAGAAAATGTTATATAATATATACCTTTTCATCGGTGGGGGAAGCGGCTATAGATTTTTAAATATGTAAAAAAATACTGTTGCATGGACATACTCGAGCGCGTCAGATATTGATAGCATCAATGTCCTATGTATTTTTAATAATGTTGTTATGTTAATCTGATCGTTTGATGATGTGGGTGGTTGTACGTAAGGAATAAAAGTGAAAAGAAAAAAAAATTGAGCGCGTCAGATTTTCCAAGGGGGTGTTAAGTGCAACAAAAAAAAAGCTCTCATTCAATAATCTGACGATTTCGATCTGACTCAAACTCGCGGCCATTATTATAATGTGCAAAAAAAAATTCGCCATTTTGAAATACTCAGGCGCGTCAGATTAAGATATATATGGTTCATCTTTATGTTTTAGACTTGCTTTCTCATAATCTGACGATTATCTAGAGGGATTCGCTTAATCTGAGAAAAACAATATTTTTTAATTTTTTTTTCAATTCATTGAACTTAATTAATTGAAAAGCTCAGGAAATAGCATGCAAATAAATAAGTGTATGTTTTTTAAGTAGAATACTTGTATTTATAAGAAAATAATTTTTTTTAAATGCTCATAAAAATTTAATTTTTTATAATCAATTGATTAATTAATGAAGAAAAGAGAAATGAAACTTTCTATGTTTTTTACCACTTTTATTTGTAACTAACGTTACTGCAGTTTCGTCCTATAAGGACATTTTCAAACTTATATATTGTATAAGTTTGAAAATGTTTTCAAACTATAAGTATGTATCAGTTTGAAAATGTCCTTATAGGACGAAACTGCAGTAACGTTAGTTATAAATAAAAGTGGTAAAAAACATAAGAAGTTTAATTTCTCTTTTGTTCATTATGATTTCCTACCACGTAGTAACGACTACATCCATCAATTAATTGATTATTAATCTTCATCTTCATCGCGAACGAGTCTCTGTGATCAGCTGTGATGGCGTCATGGCAACAGAATTCACAGTGGGGACGGAGTGAGAGAGTAATAGATAGAGAAAAAGTGAATAGAGAATAGAAACTCAGAGAGGGAAATCACATAGAGGGAGGTATCCCACAGCTGCACGCATTAAACTTTATCGTCGAATTTTTGTTATTTTGGCTTGCGGAAAACGTATATTTTTCGTTATCCTTGAATTATTTTCTTCAAAATGAAAAAAAAATTAGCTACGTTCGAGAATATCGAAATGATGTTATTTTTTTACAATTTTGCTGCCCTCCCCTTTCTCTACGTCACTCTCAAATTGTCAGATTACTGGAATATACACTTTTTAACAGGTAATTAACTCACCCTACCTACCTTAATCTGACGCACTCGACAATTTTTTTTTTAATAATCTGATCCTTTATCCCTCACAGGCGGCCTTATATATGGGGCTCATATTTGGTGGAGGTACTTAACCGGGTACAAGGTATCCCCCTGTATATTAATCAGCAGCCCGAAATCCCTGCTTAGGCTCCCTTATTATTAGTATCCACAATTATCTTCGGATTAGTGCGGCTGAGTTTTTTTTTTACATTCACGAACAAAAACACACCAAGAAACTAAATCATATGATGGAAAACGAACTGCTACCAAAAAATTATTATTTCAAGAGGATATAGATGGTTAATATGACAACTATTAAAATCAAAATTTCCATACTTATTTCAACAAGTTATTGTCTCCTAGTGATACATACAGGGTTAATAAAGGCAAGAACTATTATGTTACAAGTTCTTCCCATAGATTGAGGAGGATATTCATTTTTCTTCAGTATTCTTGAGTAATAATTATTAATAAGCTGAAAACAATCGAATATCACCACATTACCATTTGTATATTAATTCAAACAATATTCAGAGAAGTTCTTTATTTTTTCAACATCTGTTAACATACCTAATAAATATATTTCTCAAAAACGTACAAAAAATATTATGAGCAATATTCAAATGAATGATATGAACTAACAATATTATTTATTCCCTGACTGTCAAATTCCCGTATCAAATACTAAACTACTTGGTCTCTAATAAAAATATGGAATGTTTGTGGAATATCTTGCTTAGGATAGATCACAGACCTGACTACCTGCTGAATAATCTGGAAACACTTTTTTAGCTGACATAGTATTGCATACTATGCTGCGGTAGAATATTTTCATTCATTTACATCAATGAATTAAATATTATATTATACAACCTCTTGTCCATCACTTGAAAATGACAATATTTTCTCGATTTTGGAGATTCCTTGGCTGGAGCAGATTGCTTTGAAGATGGAGCCTGAGTGGTAGTCTGCATCTTAGGAGTACTTTGTTGTGGGGGAGGAGGAGCTTGTTTCAAAGGAGGGGCCTGTTGTTGGGGAGAAGCTTGTCTTGGAGGTGGCGTTTGCTGTTGGGGCGTGGCTTTCTTTGGAGGAATTTGCTGTTGGGGCGGGGCGTTCTTTGGAGGAGTTTGCTGTTGGGGCGGGACTTTATTTGGAGAATTTTGAGGTGGGGTTTGTTTTGGAGAATTTTGGGGTGGGGTTTGTTTTGAAGGAGGTGTTTGCTGTTGAGGCGGGGCTTGTTTGGGAGTTGGTGATTGTTGTTGGGGTGTGGCTTGTTTTGGAGGCGTCTGTTGTTGGGGCGGTGCTTGTTTTGGAGGAGGCGTCTGTTGTTGGGGCGGTGCTTGTTTTGGAGGAGGCGTCTGTTGTTGGGGCGGTGCTTGTTTTGGAGGAGACGTTTTCTGTTGGGCTGAGGCTTGTTTTGGAGGAGGATTTTGTTTTTGAGGTGAATCTTGTTTTGGTGGAGTTTCAGGAGAAGCATGTTTTGGAGAAGGAGCTTGTTTTGTAGAGGCTAGTTTTTCTGGAGGAGCAGTTTGTTTAGTGGCAGGAGAACTATTTTCTTGGGAAGGTTGTTTCATTCCTTGCTTAGGAGGTGGTGGTTGATGGGGAGGAGGAGGAGGGGGTTGTTTAGCAGGAGTTGGTGTGTTTTGTCGAGAAGGAGGTTGTTTGGTAGGAGTTGGGGTGGTTTGTCGCGCAGGAGCAGACGTGGTTTGCTGTTTTGAAGGAGGTGCTTGTTGCTGCTTAACTGACTGTGCTGTCATGGTAGGTTTTGTGGTAGTTGACACAGTTTCTGTTTTCGGTTGAATTACTGGAACCTCCCTTTTAACCCTTTCTGGACTGAGATGTTCCCATCCGATTTCAGACAAAGGAATCCGACCAATAAAATCGTTGAACGGTGAAGCAAGATAGAGATAATTGTTGAAAAAGTGGGCTTCACAAAAGTTTTTCAATCTTTTGTTAGTGGAAGAGAGATTTTCGATTATATCGCCACTTTTTGTTGCTCTAATTACCATTGTTCGACTGGGTTCAAAAATATCAGGTAGTGTAGTGAAGTGTCCAATCTGAAATGACATTTTATTGTGTTAATAATTTTGCATATACAATTTTTTTTAAATAATTTCTCACCTTATGAACAGCTTTCTGTGCAAATTCTGAAGGGTAAAATTTGTTTAAAGTCTCGAACCCAAGTTCGAAAATACCAAGGACTCTGGCCACAAATTTCCGAATTAGTGGGAACGGTAATAAAATATGAGCAGGACTAGGATTCTCTGAATCAACTGGTTTGATGAGCGTTATCAAAACTCCACCTTGTCCGTCTGATTTTAAATTATCTGGTAAACCCGGCAAGCCGTCAATGAAAACATCACGGGTTCCTTTTTTTGGTCCTTTCAAATAGTAACGAAATATTCGGTTTCCAACTGTTTCGGCTACTATAACAAATTCTTCATCGTCAGAAAGCAGAACACCATTGGCAAAGTGAATGTTGTCGATGAGGACCCGGTTTGTTTTTGATTTAGCATCATAGTGAATGAGTCTGAAATATACAAGAATATTCTTAATAGTACTCTATGTAAACATGTATGTCTGATAATACAAATTAAAGACTAACACAGAGCTTTCCTTCAACGGTACTAGTCATGTTTTTGATAACAATTGAATGATGGTTGTCTTGAAGGTTCAGGTTCCAACATTAGAAGTTAGAAGCAATTGGCAAATGGCCAATTTCAAGAACATCTATAATATACGTATATGTCTTATTGTTCGGTAACTACCTTTCAACTTCACTGATATTTAAAATTAATTTTGCCATTACACGGTAAAGAAATATTGGTTTGTGTCAAAAATGAAATAATTGTTTGATAATTGGTGAAATTTCTTCTCGAAAATCTGGAATGAGTCATAGGGAGTTTCAGCCTCTCTGGTCCACAACCTGTATACCTATAAAGACATTAGCTGACAGAATGCTAATCCAATCGAACCATGGAATGCTTCCCGTGAAGTGAAATTTGGTACCAAAGAAAGGACTTAGATATCAGCATCCTCATTTCCGTTGATTACTTTGTAACTTAGATAACTTTAGAGCTGTAGTAACTGATTGGAGTAGGTATCCAATCTATTTGAAAAATTAAAACTTATCCTCTTTGATGTTGGGACTATAAGTTCATACTTGTCTTGGTGGAACAAGTTATAACATTACTAATAAATTCCATCTGATATATTTCACCAGACGATGTATGGAAAATATCGAAAAAAAGAGAACTACCACAGGGAAGTATAATTTGTGCAACAAGCAACAGACCGGGGGCAATACATAAACATTGAATATGAAAGTGCCTTCACAGNTCCGAATAATAATTTTAAACTGATTTTATAATTAACAAGTTGACGTGATGTTGCCATGCAACTTCTCAAATACATTTTCGACAACACTCTAGGTTATACAGGAAGTAATTATTTCGCTAAAGTTCTTCAAACTTTATTTTTTCTTCGTATGCTCCTTTTAAGAATAATACAGCTTATCAGTACTTATTATGAAATGAAGTCATCTCACCGCGTCTGTCGATCTACAGGAAATAAATTCAGAATTTTCCGAATATATTTTCACATGGTTTTCACCAATAGACAGAATAATTGAAGAGGAAGTTTAATGATTATTTGTCAATGTTTTGTGTGAATTTGTTGAAGTGAGAAACATTCACTTCATAGGGGTCGGCAAGACAAGAATTCTTGTCTTGAGAAAAAATCAAGAAATTTAAAAAAATCTTGTCTTGATGTTTTCTTGACGTCTTATATCTTGTCTTGACTCAAGAAAGTCCACGTATGTCGATTGTTACGATTAATGCCCTTTATATTCACAATATAGTAATCGTCAAAATGATTTTTTGGTTCCCTCCATACAATTGGAACACCAAACTTAAAACATTTTCGTTGTCCTTTCGTCCACTGTCGCAAGTTTTCAAGACAAGTTTTGCACACTACATGTGGAGCCCAGGATTTATCTTGATCTCCTGAATGTATACCAAACTAGGCTTGATTTGCCTTTTTTATAAAACCACAAACTGGTTTTCTACTCTCCTCGCCATATATGTAGCAAAAAAACATTCGGGTTATTCACACAACGCCTGCTTGTAGAAGCCATGGATTTCAGTTGTCACAAACAAACTCTTGCAACGAAACTCAAGTTCAGACTAAATTTTACACCCGGGTTGAGTGCCCTGGAATGCAGTCGACTTTATAGATATTTATCAATGCCATTTCCGAGAAAATACTATTTACTTATCGGACAATAGGTAAGAAGCAATTAGCACTAATTTCATGTTATGGGCATTTCCAATAAGTACACTTTAATTAGAAGTCATTAGTTGTTAACTTTGTTTATAAACATATTTATTGCAATTATAGTGGTGGAATATACAGAAACGTAAGAATATTTAAGTATTTGAGGAGTGTTATATCTCAAAAACTAGAACTGATACAAAGAACAGGTTTGTATTTTTGGAATCAGCACAGATGAATTAACCAAAATCAGTTGATTTTTTTTCGGCAGCAAGACAAATTTTTTTTGGTGGGCTGTGTTATATGTATGTTTTCCACTTTTTAATTTGGTTTGCTATTTCAAGCCCATTTGTTTTAATGTAAAATATATATGCATGCGCCGACAGTGGGGTTGTCTCACTTGCTCTCACACAGAGACTGAGTGAGGAAATTATTTAATCCTAGCGATCCTGATCAGGATAATGAGATAAGTTTGTAAAATTATTATATTGTCACCGATTCTTGATAAGTGTACAAAGTTAAAAATCAATCTGTCCGTTTGAAGTTAGTTAAAATCGAGTCCAAAGGAGTCGGTTACAAACAAACAAGTTACAACATACAATTGAAGCTAATAGAAGCGCGTTAAAATACATGTTGGCCTCATCTAGCAATAAATTTCAATTTAAAATGAGTTGAACACATGTAGGTATATTACATTTTTATGGAACATTGAAGATTAGTGACTGAATATTGCATAGATATTCAATTTCTTGATTCTTGTCCAAGTCAATTAATTGATGATGAAACATCAGGCATAAAAACCTGCAGACCACAGTCAATAAACGAAAAAAACTTTGCCACCTTTATCCCGGAGAAAATTTGCGGCAAGAAGTAGCTTTCCCAAATCAAAAGAGCTTGTTAAACTTGTTTCAGAGAGCACACACAGAGTGTATATCCGATTGTAAACTGCTAAGCTGATGAAGTCAATGTATGTTGTGTATTGTGTTTCTGAGTATTTATTTTGACTGACCTCAATTTTGTATCTGAAACTTATTAGCATATTCTACACATCTTTGTAAATAGTTCATTTTGAACTTAACTGCTTTTTCCTTTCATCAGAAGTTTCCCAATTTTTTGTACTACTCGTAAAATGGAGAAGTGAACAGGGAAAAAGCGTTTTTCTGATGACGGAGACGTTTCACTACATTTAAAGTAAAGGCGATATTTATATATTTTTCCAAATGTTTGCAGTTTAATTTCACTGTACTTAATGAAACACTGTACTTAGTGAAACGATCAAAAGTAAGACTTCGTTAATGCCTAGCTCGCATCGACATATGAGGGTTTCCTTTTGTATGAAGACTAGAGCTGATTGATGAAAAATACTCATTTTAAAAACCTATTTTTTCAAGTTATGAAAAAACTGGTAAGGTAATTGTGCAACCCCACATACAAAACTCGATATCCTAATGGGACCGGTTATGCACATGTTGTTTTTCAAATGGAAAAAATTTGTTTATACATAATTATCAACAAATATTTATGAAACCACCGCAGCATTATTTGAGAAATGTCACGTATTTTCTTTAATTGTAATTCAAACTGCTGTTGAAGTAGAGCTCTTATCAGGAATGTCTGCTATCTACCCATAAATAAAAAGGTAAATAATTTCAAGTGACGAAAATGGATTTCATTTAAAATATAGATTTATAAAATACGTCTTTCAATATCCAAACAAATGAATTACTCATATTAATCTTTGATAATAGATAGTAAAAATTAGCAAATTAATTAATTACTCTTATCAACCTTTGATAATACATATCAAAAATTACTGATGTCAATGTTTGCATTCTACTAAGCTGTGAAGTATATGAAAAGTCTCTAAGCCTCATGCTACTATACATATTTCCAAATAAAACAAAAATTATGTTCTTGTAAAATCTTTCTATACCTACCGGATGAAAACAAAATTTTACATGCCGCAATTCAGTTCTTTATGAAGAAAGAACTTTGAAATTCGGAATAAGAATATAGTCTTTTGAAACAAATATTTTCAATGATAAAACACTTGGAAATATATACAGGGTTATCCGGTAATCAAGCCAAGTCAAAAGTTTCAAATGGAACCCTGTATAATTTTTTTGATATTTCCTCGGATATGATATTCTCTTTACAACAATATAACACGTGACTATTTCCATTTAAAATGGCGTGGTAGGATCCTGAGACTTTGTTTCATCTTCTTGGTGGGTTTAAAAACTGTTTTTATGTAGTGTTTCAGCAATAGTTTTCCAATTCTGTCTGTGCATGTTAGATACGCGTGTGCAACCATCTGGGCCTTGTTCCGTTTTGAACCGCAGAATTTTCCAGTTTCATGGATGAAAACCTCAGCCGTGAGAGCCTCAACTATAGAAATGTTGTCAAACAACTTGATGTAGGGAGAAACATACGCAGAAATTTGCTATGTATTTGAATGAATATTCCACACATCACACAAGTAGTAGTTTCAGTGCTGACATGAACAAATTTTTGAAATTACAAAATTTTGTTCAGCAATTTATAGAAGTTTTTAATTTGAAATAACCGACAATTAATTCTATCTTCATCTCTTATCCATTATAACTATATTTTGTTTGATGGGTCCTAACTCAGTGGCACATCCTATATTGTGCAGCCAGGAAGCAACTTATCAATTCCTCAGGAGCAGGACATATGAATCTGCCTTGGACACCAAATTCTTGGACAGCAGAAGAATCTGCATTAGGGGAGGAAAAAAAACTACCTCTGATCAGGTCATCAAACACGCAAACAGTTATTCCTCTGAACAAGAAGCAAAAAAGCCCTGCATGGCTGAATATAATGTATTGCCAAGTATAACTTGACTTGAAGATATTGTCTTATCCATTATAACTATATTTTGTCTGGTGGGTCCTAACTCCGTGGCACATCCTATATTGTGCAGCCAGAAAACAACTTATCAACTCCCCAAGAGCAGGACATATAAATCTGCCTTGGGCACTAAATTCTTGGGCAGCAGAAATAGAATATGCATTAGGGGAGGAAAAAAACTACCTCTGATCAGGTCAGTAAACACGTGAACAGTAATTCCTCTGAACAAGAAGCAAAAAAGACCTGCATGGCTGAATATAATGTATTGCCAAGTATAACTTGACTTGAAGATATTGATAGGTAGCTGAGGTCATCAGGTTGGGGATCTTGCACATTGATCATCTGACAACCTCAATATTGAGCAATGAACTGGTATCTCTTCTGTATTTCATTATGGCAGCCATATAGGATTTTCCAGAGGATGGTCATGGTCCACATGTACGATTTTAGAGCTGCACATTCTGGTTTGGATAGCTACAGGTTACCTGAGAGGATCAAAAAGTCTCTTTGTTGGTGAGTGCAGTTAGTCCCCTGCAGTAATGAGAAGGTATCTCCTTGAAATGTGTGACTGGAGACCTATTCCCAAGCCACATTTTTGTGTTGCTCACCTACCTGATGATGATAGCAAACTGAACGCCGATTAGGCCCTTACAAGATTGAGGAAAATGTACCATGGTCTGTCAACCTTGAAGCGGATCAATATTCACAAGGAAATACAGGTTCTGGCATGAGAAGATCACATACATAGTACCTGCCTGCTGTAGACCGGATCAGATTTTCAATTAATGACAAAATCCCACTCATACCAGCTAACTTGAAAGAAAACTTTACAGATGAATTAATACACCTTGTTGAAGAGCTGGATTGTCGAATAGACCCACTCACTTTGGAACTACCTTCCTACCTATACATCTTTCACTGTTTCACTAAATAAAATAAATGTAAAAAAAGCCACCCTGTATTAATCAAGCACTTGTGTTTTAATAAAAGACATTTTTGAACAATATCAGTGAACCTACCTGCCAGAAGGATCTGCTAGCATTGAGAAAATACCATCTTCTAGACTAAACTCAGAAGAATCAGTCCAATAAATATCCCCATTCTCAGCTAGAGCAATACTGTTGAATAACTTTACTCTCCTACCACCAATTTCTTGGTCAGGGCTTATGATTACTTCCTTCCGACCTAGAAAATCGAATATAAATGAAACACTAATTCACATCTATGGAATATATCAACCTGTTTCAACATTCACTTTCATGATTCCATAGTAAGCATCGGCAACAAAGAGATCCCCATTTTTATTGAATCTCATACCTAGCGGTCTACCACATATGCTTTCTTCGTGTAAAGATTTGCAAGGTTTACCCGTTTTAGCAACTGGTTTGATATCATTTCCCACCAACTTCACAATGTCTCCACCAACTATTGAAGTGTACAATTCACCATTGAAATCTGCAAATGCCTCAGGACCCAAAAGATCTCCTTCATGCCAAATTTCGACACCGTTCAGTTTCTCATTCAAAGCTAATTTGCCTTCCAAAGGTTTTGTGGGTGGTAGTCTGAAAGACAAGAGTTAGTTATTCCCAAGCAATATCATGCAAAATGGCATCTTACCTAATTGAATTAGAAAAATTAGAATAAGGTGGTAAATTCGGCAATAATAATATCAAACCAATAACTATGGCAGCTTCAAAATAAAGATTGAAAGAAGTAATACCACCATAGTGTCAAAAGCCAAATTGTCAAAAATACTAATTTCCGAAAATATTCAATTTTCAAAATTTATAGCCTCGGCGCACCGCACTGTAACGGTCGATCTAGTAAAAGTTCATTTACCTAAATGAAGTTATGCTATTCGGCAATTAGCGATAATGCTGATTGGCAATATTAGACTTCGACCTAAAATCGGGGAGAAGAGTGTGTGGACATGGAGCATTCGGTTGCCATCTTCTGAAAATAACACATCCGTCACCCATGAAAATGTACCTTCGGTAAGTGTATCTTTTGATTTACATTATTGACTTGTTGAACCATATTTTTGAAACAGCGTAACATCGTTGAGGGCTATGTTGCAAATTTATTTTAATAAACTTCAGTATTTTCTATTTACGATTATTATTTTTATATAAATCCTACCATCTGAGTTAACCCTCAACTCGCGAGCCATTTGGGCCGCGACAATAGCGCTTCAAGAAACAGAATGACTCAAGTCACTAACACCGACAGTTTTTCTGTCAACTCATGGAAAACAAAATACTTGATTGGCGCTAGACTGCATCCAGGATAAAAAAGCAGACAGTGCTGCGTTAAATCCAGCGTAAAACACTTTTTGAAACAAACTCTGTCCATTTAAGCAACATAGTTCTCCAAAACTTATCATGCATAGTGCACGTGATCTCTCAGACAAAGCTGCTTCTACGAGTCGCACTATGGAACGACCTAAATTTCATTTTTTTAATATGCGGCTGAGTATAAAAAAAACTTTTAAGTGGAAAGGCCACAAATTAGCCGTTTCTTCAGCCGTATCAGTACTTGACATTTCAAAATCTAAACTTTAAAATACCTTGTGTGCCGTACACAAGCACTAAAACGTAACTGACACTAACTGACCACTCGGAAACTGTGACAATAGACTCCGCCAACCGATTGTAGTTAAATCTGATTTGCCAGTATAAGGAGGCTTGTTTATTTTACCCAATCGATGCGAATGTGCTTGGTGATCATGCTTTGTTCACGCATCTATTTTTGTTTAGGTTGATTCTTTTGTTGGCTTTAGACGGAATGTTACGAGTCAAATAATGTCGACATATTTAAAAAAAATGTATGAAATATATTCTCAAACCATTTTAGAGAACATTTTTTTTCTTTTTCCTTTGATTGTGATTTCTTTATATTCTTTCCTAACGAAATGTTCAATACATAATCTACAAGAGTCTAATGAAGGGTTCACCCTGAAAAGTTGGGTACTGCATAATATAAACATATAAACCACTGAACAGTTCACATAGTCAGCAACTTATCTTATTCACAAATGTTGCCAACAGACGAATTAAAGTATGGGAAAAATATATATCTGTTTAAAATCTGTTTTTCCATTAATTAGCTGTCGCCCCCATACGAACGACAACTCTCAGAAGTTGAGAAACTTGTGCGAACTAAGGACTAACGAGGTCTTACCTTTTAACGTGTGATTCCTAACACTTAGGTTTTTTTGGTGACGTTTCGGAAAGTAATCCCTTTCCTTTCTCCAGTTCCAAAATTCACTTGTAAAAACACCTCAGGCGAAACAGGTATATTTTCTTTGATTAACGTCAAACGTATTCTAAAAACACTTCAATAAAGAGATTTCCTCTTGAAAGTTTACAAAACCGCGACACATGTTTTGCTATACAACAGTATCTTCGGGCGTCACAATACTGTGTCGTGCTTTTATAGTAATTTGAATCATTATGACTATTACTACCTAACAAACTTCTTCATGATGAATTCATCACCTTAACTCATAAAACTGGGGAATAATGAATACAATTTTTACCTGAGCCATCACTTCACCTACTTTTGAAATATATCCTGATTACCAACTTCCTCGCTGCAAACTGAATTCAGTAAAGGGGAACAATTCAAATCTATTTGATCATTGAGCAATAACCTCGAATTTTTCATTTATCGACTTCTGAACATTCCAGAAAGTTGACTTTTGAACCTTTCTCCTGTTAAAAAAACTACTTCTATGCTCTGTTATTCTTTTGAAAAGAGTTCCTACTGTTTACAAGCTGGCCCTCAGTCAGCGAGATCAAAAGTAGATTAAATGATGACTCAGGTAAAAAGTGTATTCATTATTCTCCAGTTTTATGAGTTGTTCCTGGAAATGTAAATAGTTTAGGTGATGAATTCATCATGTAGATGTCAAGTAGTAATAGTCATAATGTTTCTACTATGAAAGCACGACACAGAATTGGTTCAAACAGTATTGTGATGCCTGAAGATGTTATTGTATATCGAAACACATGTTGCGGTTTTGTAAACTTTCGAGTGGACATCTCACATAAAAGTGTGTTCTTTGAATACGTCACAATGGATTTCCATCAAGTATCGTTCAGTTAGGTCAGAAAGGGGTAAATTATTTCAGTAAATTTTTTTCTTGAATTGAAATCTTTAAAACATCCAACTAGATACTGATTTGAATAGGTCTTACAATGGTATACATATAGATAAGGAATTGTACTAGCCTTTCCAAATTTGTACTTGATTTCTCCTAAGACTGAAACCCCAATATGATGCCATGATAAGCAACAAATCAGATGTTCATTCAGGTTTTTTGTCATTTCAAGACATTATGAATTTTCATCTGGTCTTCCTAATTAGAAGTTGTTTTGATTATATTAGCCATTGAAATTAAAATTTCAGATTCAAAAAATTGAAAGGTAGTATATAATCAGACTTCAAGATTCACCTCCGGAGACTTAGAATTGGTTTTGATTATTTAATGTCTTGTTCCAATCTATAAGTATTGTTATCACTTTTAATAACTTCAACATGAGGTCCATAGTATGGAATGACATAAGCAGATCCATCGGCAGGAGTGAGAGTTTGGGTTGAAATCAATATAATATCAATCAATTGTCCAATAAACATAAATCCCAAAGTGCAAAATTTTGCTAAACCAATTGCAGGATATCCTAAGTAAAATCTATCAATTCCGAACATTCCTAAAAATATTGAAAGCAATAGTGCCATTTCAAAAGAGTAACCATTCCTAGAATAAGAAAATATGTTAATACCTATCTTTCAACATAATATTTGCATGATTCACTTACGTCCATTTGCAGGGCATTTCTTTGAAAAAGGTTGCATTTCCTGTTTCATTACAAATGAGGCCTTCCACTGCAATACACCTCACTGAAATGTAAGGTTGTATTAAAATTTTGAAATGAAAAATTACAGCTATACCTTTGGCCTTATTAGTTTTTGTACAGCCACGAAGTTGTTGTGTTTTTGGATCTATTGAATCATTAACATATACTGGATCCGGGCACAAATACTGTCCCATACGTAATGATTCACAGTTAACTTTATAGTGTTCACACTTTGTCTCAATAAGTACAATTGTAATTAAAATAAATGAGTTCAAAAATATATTCATTGAGATTCGAATTTCGAATACCCTGCCTTTAATTTTTATTCTAATTATGTGCTCTGTGTATTTAATTTTTTTGACACAAAAAAGTAGGGTTATGTTTTTGTTGTTATTCGTTTATTCGGTGACAACAATAATGCGTCCTGAGCACAGAACTATAACTTAGTCTAAGTTATAGTTCTATGGTCATGAGATATGTACCCAGCCACTACACTAATTCCATAATCTTCACTCATAGGAGATAATGTATCTTTGGATACATCTGGGAAAGTCATGGATATTATAATATATATTTTTACTCATATATACATGCTTCACATCTACGTTGAACCTAAAGGCCTCAGTTTCATAATCGTTTGAGCTGGATGAAGGTATAGTAACCAAACCCAGAAAAAAGAAGACAGAGTGGCAAAATGAAATATATGACCAGGAAGAAGAATATTTTATTACTTAATTTGTATATTTTGACATTTGGGTTTGAAGGAAAATAATCCTGACCTAAAAATGATTATTAGATATGACTTTATGGAACTCTACTTTTGAATAATCTCAAGAATGGCTCTTTCCTCAGTTTTTAATAGAAGTGTTCGTCAATGCACCAGGCTTATTTGCACCTCCCCTATCAGTAAAGTCCAGAAGAATGAACCCAACAAAGCTCTCACTGCTGAGTTTAATTCCATAGACGATTTCACTACTCAGTTAATACAAAGTAAAGTGAATAAATGGACTGCTCAAAACCCCATTCAGCCTGCAGCTAAAAAAGTATTTATAGGTCAAAGTGCCTGTGAGAATGAGTTGGAAGACATAGCTTCCTTGAACAAAGAAGAATTAAACCAACTTTTTCAAAACACTGCAGATTCTTTTGATAATGAAAAATTACTTAGGTTAATGAAACAGTGTATCAAATTGAAACGATGTCCCTCTTTGCATCATATTTTTTACACGTTGAGTGTGAGTTCTAAAATTGGTGACAAATCAACTATAGAAGATATTAGACAATTGTGTGAGTATATCTGCCCAGAAGTTTTGAGAACGAATGCTAATTTTCAGCATTATGTTGCTGAAGCCGTTTGGATAAAAGGCAATATAAATGAGTCTTTGAGAATATTTAGAAATATTTACTCAAATACAACTCATTTGCGACGTAATATAAGAGAAATGTTGAAGTTTTTGATACTGAATACAGTTTCAAGGAGGAGCGAAGTTGCGCTAGTGAGTATAATCAAATTTTCAGAAGATTTAAAAAATGAATATGCAGATTTCTTTCCCTTAACATATGTGTGGCAGACATGTTTTCTGAGCGAATGGTTCTCAGACCAATGTATAGCTTTTGATTTGCTGACTAAACATGATGGACTTTGTGGAGCTGTGACAAGTAGAATTCCTTATGTGGTTGCTGTTTCCTTAAAGAATCATAATACAGAACTAGTTCACAGATTGTTTGAAGTTTTACTTCATTTTGATATGAAGTCGCAGTATGAAGGAGTACTTCTAGCATTATTAGATTATCAAAGTGAGTATCAGTTTTCCATAATCGGTAAACATTTCTGTTTTAAATTTTCAAAAAGAACGTCCTCAACCCTTTCAAGTATGCGAAACAATATGTATATATGAAATGACCTAAATTATCCCATAGCAGAGTGTTATAATTAACTGTCCAAGGTTCTCTTTGACATACATATCTGGGTTTTATCCGATAAATTTTGGAAAGTCCAAAATCATTCAGAAACTTTGGACAACAGACGAGCATTATTGTATTATTTAATTTGTTTTTACTGTTTTTACATATATTATGATTTAGTACTCTTTGTAGTAACCTCAAAGAGAGTTACTGGCTTGTCGAAGCTTAAAAATAGCTTACACTTTCATTTACATTTCATATATCATTGAGGTTTCCATTGTTTTTTATTACAAATAAGACCATCTGGGGGACAGTTTGCTACACGACTATGGTCAGCTTAAAAGTATTAGGAATTCTATTCAAGTGTGTATATATTTGAGATTTTGTGAATGTGTAAAGTGTGAAAACTATGACTTAGCCAGCTTTTCCCAAGGTGGTAATTGCCCGAAGAGTTAGTGAGATTTTTTTGGAATTCTCCATAAGGAAAAACAAATAATTATGAGAAATATTGCATTCAAAACCAAAAACAAATTAATTTTTTTTCTGAAATTTTCATAAGCAAGTAACTACTTTTTCGACACCAACGTCTAGCTGTCTAGGGTCAAAATTCATACCTTATCAAAAAAAAAACCTGTGTATAACAAAAATTTTATCTATATTCTTATAGCTTCTTCTTCTTTTTATTACCAGTATTTCGACAATGATGGGTTCATCATTATGTAAGAATATGATGAACTGTTAGAAGTACGTGACATTATTGGTAAAAAGGTTGGCCTTCTCCAATGAAAAGGTGGACAATAAGTGACTTCTATATGTCCAATTCATAAGTAATTGAGTACAACTTCTTCTAATCTCATTAATTTTATACAGAATTCCCATTTTTCAAATTTCGGCTTGATTTTTTCCATTTTTGTTGTAATAAACCGTTTAATTTTGATTAGTAGATTGTTTCAGATCATAAACTGTAACTTTTTATATGGCAAATTTGCTGCTAATCTAGTTGTCAGGTCGACTGAATCATTTTAACTTATTCCACAATGAATAAGAATCCATAACAATTCTTCAGTTTTTCAAGTTCCTTTGGTAAGTTACATTCGGGAAATTATAGTGGTTACTTGGGCTAAGAACAGAAATTTAGTTAAAAAAAAGTCAGCGAGAACTGAATGGATTTGAAGGCTTTTTTTTACTGAGATTGCTCAAAAAATAATTGTATAAACAAAATGGGGTGTAACTTATTATCCTTCTTAATGAAATAGTGTAGTGATCAACTTCCAAATGTTTTTTTCCAGTACGCCAAGGAAATACTCAACGATGTTTGGAAATTGTTCAGTGGTCATTACAAAATGATGTGCAGTTACCGCCAGTTTATCACAAAAACTTTGTCAGTCTCCTACTAGGTTCTGGGCCAGATTTTTACTTGAAATCTACAAAAAATATGCCAAAAATAGAAACACATTTCAAGTTTTAGTTATATTTTTTAGAATTATCATAGGCATAAAAATAATTTATTGTAAAAATAAATATCACAAGTGTACAGTTTCAATGATGTTGTCATCATAATCACTCTTTTTATTCATTGTTACTCCCATTCCTTTTTCCTCGCAGCCCCTTTTCACTAAACAGGTCATCAGTCTGAAAAAATTCAAATCAGTATCATATGTGGTTATTTTATTCTTCTGGTGTATTTTGGACAGAAAAAAATGGGTGTTATATAGAATGATTATGAATACCAAGATTCGTTTTTGGGAATGAGTAGTTAAAACAGAAGTAATTACCATATATCCACCAAGTGTAATATGAATAAAAGATAGGTATTGACCCAGCGGCGGCCCTATATCATTTTTCAGATGGTGCGAGATCTTCTGGTTGCGCCAGAAGTACAGATTATTTTTTTATCAGCTATTCTTCAAACTATGGGAATACTTTCAGAATATATGTTCCCAAATAGATGACTTCAACACAGAAAAATATAAAAGGACTTTCTGCCCTTGCTGCAACTTTCAATAATCAAACAGACATGAAAAATATTGAATAATTTCTTCAGGAAACTGTACATTACTTTGTCACTTCCTCACTTATTATGCCTAGTCTACCGTCTGTTTCTCTTTTATTTGCAGCTGTCAATTAATACTTATAATTTTGTTTTTTTTTTGTTTCCCAACCAATCGAAAAAGCCGCATTTATAATTTTGTATTCACATTTATGATTTCTGCGCCCTCCTTCGGTCGGCGCCCGGTGCAGTCGCAACGCTCGCCCCTTTCCTAGGACCACCGCCGAATTGGCCCCTAATGATGTTATATTTTGTCATTCCAATATTTTTCAGTTGAAATAATTTGGTCAAGACATAACATTCCAGATCTCAACGAAATCAGTACTTTTTATTAATTCGTCCAACTCCTTGGAAACATCTGAATTACACACTGATATTTGGTATTATTGGTGAATAAATGGTATAGTCGAAGTAACCTGTATTGTGAATAGTTAAAGCTATCTTAAAGGTCAAAAAAACCAATACAGAGAAATAATGCCGCTGCCAGCCAGCCCACGTGGACTGAAGAATTGGCGGTTCGTTTTGGATAATTTTTAGTAATCGAGTTTTATGATTGGCTGTAGTTATAATCACTCAAAATGTTTGTTATCTGTTTAAACTGTGGCGTCCTTGGACAAGTACTAATAGTAATAACGAGTGTGATAAAAACGCAGACTTTTTCCTGTGTAGTGATTCCAATAGCGATGGTGAGCAATGCGAAAAAGAGATACCGGTGAATAAGATTCGGATGCATTTGAATATTGAAACACAGAGAGTATGTTTCACTGCATATAAGAATCTACATCTAAGTTTGGTTTTGGGGAAAAAATATTACAAGCAACATCAGATTTGACTGAAATTCCTTTCTCAACTGAACGTAAAATAGTCAAAAACAAACCTTATGAACACAAGAAGGGACGTGATACGGACGGGATTACCAAAACCTTTAGATGTTCATGTAATGAAATCCATTGAAAAAACAATATACGACTAATACAAAAGCAATGAGATTCCTATCACTGAAATCATAAGGAAGAAATTGAATTTCCGGCCATAACGTGAGCTGCTGTAACAAAACTCTACAGAATTGGATAAAGAAACTAGGATTTAGATTTAAAATAATAAACAAACGTCAAGCAGTTACGGAAAGCAGAAGAATGGTGGAATTGCGTAACAAATTCTTAGAACAAATAACTAAATATAGACAAGAACAACGGCAAATTTTCTATCTGGACGAAACTGGGTTCCGAATTCTTTAAAATTATGTGGAAAAAAACTTGAAGACTGCAATGTTGACTATCATAAGAACTTAGAAGCTAATATTTTTGAGGAATAGTTTGAAAATACATTGATCCCAAATTTGGATGTGAATAGTGTAATAGTTCTTGACAACGCTTCCTATCATTCGCGACAGCTCATCAAAGTACCGAATAAAAATTCGAGGAAAGGTGAAATACAAAGTTTTAAAATGGATAACGAATTGTATTTTGAAGAAAACTATACCAAAAACCAACTACTTGAAGTTAGAAATAACATGTTGCTAGAATATGAATTTGAGGTAATATTTCTTACAGAACCAGGACACTGCAAACGGCATACAATAAAATACTGAAGAAAAAAACTGCAGCCGGAAATGTATCTAATGTTTGTATATAAATACTATTATATACTGGTACAGCAAGCGCAGGTGCTATTGCTTCACATATTCCAATTACTGACTGGAATTTTCCAATGTCTTTTTCTGCAACTATTTTCGTCGAAAGAGATTTTTTCGCTACCCTGTACATTCTCGTAATAACGCTAACTGAGGAACCTGAAAAATGTTTATGAATAGTTTTTTCATTCTTTCTTATTAGAATGAAATATTACCTATATAAAAAGTCAGTGAAGTGGTCGCCAGTCCAAAAGCTACGTTCGAGAATATTTTTGTCAAGATACAAACGAATAGTATCATATGGTCACTTATTCGTAGGATTTTTGTGAATAGGGGCAAAGCCAAGGAGTTGCCTATGGTAGAGGATATTTTGAGAGATTTATCCTTTTTGATGAAAAAATCTTACCAATTAGGAGGACCAAGCCATTAACGGTTATAAAGAAACTGAATTCTACTGGAGTCCATTGAAATACGTTTTGAACGTATAGATATAATAAATTAGTCTCACCTAAAAAAAAACTTTGAATTACTCCTGCAAATCAATGCTGGTAACATATATGTAGTCTGAGACTCTGAAATTAAATGGTTATTGGATATTTTCAGCAAATTTTGAGATGGATATTATGATTTTCTTCTAAGTATCGTAGCGTTCCAGGAAAACCTGAACCCATTTGTCAATCAAGCAAAAATCTTTTTTATTAAAATAAACTATTTACATGCCTAGATTTCATGAGTGCCTCTAACTTGAGGGTAGAGTAGCAAGGTGACTCCAGACAGGCGCATCCCCGCCGAGATGAGGCGGTGGGGAACGCCTCCCGCGATGTTAGCGGGTTCACGCTAACCCAGAAACATAGACTTTATTAAAAAACGACTAGGTAATGTGCCTCCTGCCACCAAGGCTTATGCATATCATTACATGGTTTTGATATTCAGGTCATTCAAATGAAAACATAACTGTCGATGTGTTGGTTAGCTAGATACTCCTGGAGTTCATAAAAAAAACCAGGACAAATTGTCAATCGGTTGCGAGTTGAATACAGACGTTACCTGTCGAGTTACAGTGAGTGTGAACCAAATAGTGGATCTGACTCTAGCTTAATTTCTCTTTTAGTTTTTTAGACACGCATGGTGAATAGATAGTTGTTTCCCGAATATTAAATGATAATCAGGGAAAAATATTGGAACTAGCATGCCACAATCATTTTGATTGCCTGAAACGAACATAGACAGGTTCTTGCCTTATTTTTTCATAATTCCATATGATTGGAATGCGGTTCTGGGGGAACTCCATATTTGATGTCTACTGTAACGAGAAATATGCTGTTCCAGTTTTCATTTGGTATAGGAATAATTTCAGGACTTTTACAACAATATTCCATTACCATCATCAGGTTCGGGAAAGGGTTTGACGAAATTTCCTGGTACTCTGTCGAAGGATGTTCTAAGCAGATACTGTGCAATTTTTTCTTGTACTTTTGATGCCAAAGGGCCCTCCTGGTCGACTAATGAGATGCTGTTTCAACACAATTTTGATTTGTTCTCTTGATAAGATCAAAATTTGGTGTACTACTACCTCTAATAGGTCAATATTAGGTCTAATAGGTCAATTTGCAGACTTGCCGCCATTCTGGCATTACTAAACCAACTAATTTCAGAACGATAATCTTTTTATGGGCTTCTCATTTTAGCCATCATAGATCGCATTCTTTAGAATTCAGTACCTAGTACCTAGTTCCTTGCGGTGCATTTTGTCTTGAACGGTGCCTTCCTTCTTTCAAGCCAACTTGTCACCTGATATGCATAATAGTCGAGAATGCCAAAAGATGTGCTATCACACTGAAGATTAGTGGAATCCATGACTATGACTCCAAATGAAATGTGTGTTTAACAGGGTATTTGCCGATTCGTTCAAAGACTTTGGTAGTACGTACATATTCCCAAGAAGCTATGCTCCCCTTCAAGTTTTTTTGAGCCAGTTTCATAAAACCTTGATCTTTGCTGGATCGGTCGGTCATCAAATATTTTTTTCTCTCTATTACGTATGTTATTCACGTAGACCTTTCTGTGAGTCCTCTCAGAACCAGTACCATCAACCTTTTACATTACACAACCCAAATGAAAGAATTTGATCTAACTTGATCGGTAAGAGTGGTAATGATAACAAGCTTTCCCAATATACACTTTATGCACGTTTCAGAAAAGTTTCGACCTAACAAAGACGCAGGGCACTTTTTTAGATTTTTTTTTTGTTTCAACGTCGCTCATTTCAACTCTACACACTTCTCCCAGCGATGCTTCTATTTCTGTAACCTGTCCAAATAGTACTCGGCGTTTTTCTATGTAAAATATTTGGTCACGAAGGTGATTGCCTCTTCATTTGACGAAAATCTCCGTCCTCCGAGCGCAATTTTTATATGAGGTAATAAAAAGGAGTCGCTTGGGGCTAGATCTGGTAAGTAAGGCGGATGGTCAAACAGTTCAAACTGTAACGACTGAAGTGCGAGACGGTGCGTTGTCTTGGTGGAAAAGAATTTTTTTCCTGGAAATGTGTCCGTTTTTCCGCAAATTCAGTGTTTAGATTGTTAAGTATCTATATCTGTAGAATAGGGAGGGTGAGTGTAGGCCCACAGCACTTAGGCCACATGTGACCCATTGTACATCCTCCCGAGGAGTTGTTCTCTTAGGTCATCGTCCATCCTGTTCTTTCCAGGAAGGTGGACAGGTGACTGGGATACATCTCCTTTATATCGGCAGGTGTAGGCCAATACTCGCCGAACACACACTTTCTTATTGACGATAACTCCGGGCACTCGCATACGACATGCCTGACAGACTCCTGCCAGACAGATCTTCCTGTTCACACATCCTGCATAAAGGTGTGTCCACTAATTCCATATTATGGAGGTTTTTCCCTAGTTGACAGTGGCCAGTCAGAACTCCTACTATTAAGCGTAGATGTTTCCTGGTCATCGCCAGATATTTCTTTGGCACCAGTTTCTTAGAGTCGCCAAGGGCGATCCTGGCAAGATTGCATCTTTTGATTCCATCCCACCTCTTTAGGGATTGAGCATGGGTGTAACAGTTGGCTATAGTTCCGCAATTGTCAAAGTCATCAGGCCGTACGTGCCACTGGGTCCTAAAATTTTTAGTCCAGCCATTTCCTTGGCTAAAGAGTCGGCAATGCGATTACCTTTACTCCTGTCGTGCCCTTTAACCCACCTCAGGATAATGTTATTATCTACCGAGGCTTTGGCTAAATCTTGGTGGCACTCTAGTACTAGCCCTGAGGTAACACGTTGTCTGTTCAAGGCTAATAGAGCTTGTCTGCTGTCAGTGCAGATTGTTTTTGTCAGAAATTCCATTTCCTGCTTATTTCTATTGTGGCGATTGACCACGTTTCTGTTTGGACCACGTTTGAATTTTTCCCATTGCCCACTTAATCCTTAGGCTTAGTGATCTGCAGTAGTTACACTCCACATCCTGAGCCTTTAGACTGTTAAGTAATGATGCGTAGTATGCTCCTGTAATGGTATTTCCTTTTTGAAGATAATCGATTGAAATAACTCCATGACTATCCCAAAAAACAGTCGCTAATCACTTTCCCGGCCGAAAAAACAGTTTTTGCTTTCTTTAAAGCAAGCTTTCCCTTTGCAGTCCAATGTTCGGACTGTATTTTTGTTACGGGCGTATACTGGTGTATCCAAATTTCATCTACAGTAATTAATCGGCGCCAAAACTCGAATTTATTGCGCCTAAACTGCGCCAACAGAGCGTTGGAAATGTTCATTCGAACACGTTATTGGTCTAACGTGAGCAAACGCGGCACCCAACGTGCGGATAGCTTTCTCACACCTAAATGTTGATTTAATATGTGACATGTTCTTTGACGTGATACACAGACGTATTGCCTTTCAAAAACAAATATTCAATGACAGCTCGATACTCAATTTTGTTCATTTTCATAAAAATGCTCACATCAACTCACTCAAACGACTGTTGCATAACAACTGCGCGTCTAAAATGGTTGAAACTTTGGTGAATAACTGTCAACAGATGAACAACGAAATTCACTAGCTTTTATTTACGATTGCTGCTATCTTCATGTTGAGGTCGGAACTTTTTAATCCACCCTCGTAGTGTACACAATCAAAGCAAGTCAACTTGGACTATTTTTTTCTTCAACCGAGAATCTCTCAACCACATTCACTAAGCTCCTGAGTGCACTATTGTAGCTCTTGTTGGGCTGTATTAGGTATCATGATCTCATTCGTTATCTTCTATGTTGTAATTTTGGTCAATTTTTGTGTCTTCAATTAGATTTTAGTTTATATTTGAGGTACCTACTATAATTTGTTAAAAAATATAAGATTAACTTAAAAAAAAATAAGTGTGTAACTTCTATAAGGTATTGTTATGAAAAATTTTATAATTTGACTCGAAATATTCATTTTCTTATTATCTTTCGTTGAAACCAGAACCCGAAAACACAGTATTTGTGATTCGAGGACACTGGTTTCAACTGGTTGCTCTCAGTGGAAGTTGCAGTTAATACAGAGGACGAATATCATTTGGAGGGCGATGTCGAAGATTGACTGTGCTACGAACCACCTAGGAGGGACTCATTTATGTGTGATATTCGTGAATTGAGTCTTCTATTCTGTCGACCCCATATATGGCGTCTTCGTACTTATCGGATTTCCTTCAATTTGTTAATGTTTAATTTGTATATTGGGTTCGCTCGTTGTCATTAAAATACACAGAAATGGGTCGGTATGTCCTCAGTACAACTGAAGGAAAAATGATAACCAACGTGCTGTTGATTCTTCAATAAATACTTTTTTTGTTTTGCCACTCTTATCTTTTTATTTTTATTTTTTATTGATCTAGTTGTCTCGAAAACCTCATTTGTTCTTTTTCTTTTCGTTCTTGTGCATCCGCACAAGTATATTAATTTTTTTTTACTACATAAGGGTTTTGCATTCTTGTAGTTCCTATTTAATTAAAACACGCTAACTTGAAAGTGGTGAGGGTGTTTTAAAATTTTTCGTATATCTGTTTGGAGAAATTTTACATGGGTGATAGGTAAATAATATTTACGGATTCTGTTGATATGCAAATAACAATCTTCATGGGTTTGCACAGATTGTCATGTTTGCTTTCTGGTCAATTCTGAAAGGACACAGACAGGCGTATAATAGTGGAAGTAGAGATGCAATGGAGCACAAATGAATTCCCAAAGAGCGAGTCGTTGCAATTTCTACAAGTTGATACTGATGTCTGTTTGTCACCATATTAATAAGACACAAGACTGGTGTTTCTTTCCTTTTATAGGTATAGGTTTGGATTAGTTGGATTATATCCGACAGGAAATAACACCTAGAGTAAAGGTTGGACAAGTTTCAAAAACTGGACGCAGGATACAAATCGATAAATTAATCAAGACAGGTTCAAATGGAAGCTTATAAATTATAAATTCCGAAAGGAAGTAGATACTTTACCATCGTAAGCACTTCGTTGTAAGAACGTCACGAGGATCATCAAGAGTATATGCATTTGGTTAACGTCAGGGGATTTTTTGAATATCACTTGGAAGGTGTCTATAGCATGTTTCGGACTGAATATGTCTGCTATTACGGAAACTGCCTGTTTGTTACCAGACGAAGTTTTTTCTACAATCCAAAATTGGCTGAATGTTAATGCTATTAGGAACAAAAAACTTGAGATGCTTAAAATAGGAATATATCCAATTTTCGAATATAAAATACCGCAAAATGAGTTAACCAGCGGTCCAGCTACGCTTATCACTATTTGTAGGATTCCTAACCTAATAGTTCGCATCTCTATAGAGCTTATATCGGCAATATAGGCTGTCGTAGCCATATTCAACATAGTTTGTCCTCCAAATAAAGACGGAATTACTTTTTGTAAAACACCTTGTACTTCTAACGACCAAGTTTTCATGTTAAACACACATAATAAACACCCCACCGTACCCAACACTTCTCCCACTATTGGAAGTATTATGAATGGTTTTCTCCACTTGTGGCGATCACTGTATGATCCAAGGAAAAGAATCAATATCAGTGGCATGAAACTTTGAACAGGTTGCTGCCACGAATGCATTTCACTTATCGTTACTTGAATTTCGTGGTTGAATGCAGAGTAGTTTTTATGCTGGCCTTCGACAATGGTATCACAGATGGAGTCGTTGTACTGCAAATTCACCCTACACGCTTTTTCAATTTCTAAGTTGGCCAAGGCCGGCTTGCACAGGTATACTGCCATATAGTAGAAACCTACGACTGGTTCCACTGTCACTGCTTTTTTAATGGTCACTAGCTTTTGTTTCAAGGAACGCGCAGGTAGTGAGTCATTTTGGTGGGCTTCTTTTTCTTTGGTGGGTGCTTCATTGTCGCTACCATTTTGTGGCATAATACTTCACTGAGAGATCTGAAAGAGAATTAAAAAACGTTATAGAAGTGATATGCTACGACTTGAAACAGACGTATATTGAATTAGTAAGTACTTTTTACACGATTGTGACAATGGGGAATGTTCCTCAATTTGGGTTATTACAGCAAATGCAAGTTCAGGTAACAGATTCATTGTCCTTTATTAGCTATAACCGATGTTGCCAAATGGTGAAATAGAAACGAATCCCTTCAAATGTTGAATGCATTATTTCTTTTTTAAGTATCTAAATAATTTTTTAAAGAAAAAGGTTGAAATGATAAGTTTCAAACGCATTGTTTTAGATCTCTTTTATGAAAACTACTTGATTTTCGTCAGGAGGAACATTCCCCATTTTTTGTGTGACATAGATCATATGAACGTGAGAAATGCTTTTGAAACGAGTTATACACTATACTTTTCCAAGACTGTACTGTTCTAGTACTTCGGTGTACCATTAAAGTAAATTGTTTACTGTACCTTAAATCGGAATTGTACATTATTTTGATATTTCTTTTTACTTTTTCACTAACCCCAACTAATTTTCATTTGAAAATGATGAAATACCAACTAATTACTTATTCCAAAATAAATTAATAAAGCGATAGTTCCAAAGTGAGCACTTTTCACAATCACAAGAAATGCAATACTCTTTTCGACGCGCGATTCACCAACCAAGTTGGCGTCTTCAGAAAATGAAGGGATAGTTGATGCACATAAAAAGTAGGTATTTGTCATATTATAGTTCTGAAAATGGTTAGGTTTTATTTCTTTACTATCAATTGTTTCTCTTTTTTCATCAGGATTACCTTTCGGAATTTCTCATCTNTTATCTTTCTTCTATAGATACTTTCACGGAAAGTGTTCAAATGACTTGGCACATTTGATCCTACCAAGAGCGGTACATATCAGAAATGGCTGCTCATCGTTTTGAGGTTCAACTCACTACACCTCGAAGTTCACTGTTCAAGAACTCTTTCATTTGGAGAACTGCGTTTATGTGGAATAAACTTCCAAAGTGAATCGCTACTTTCGTACAGGCACCGATCTTAGAGCGCCTTAAGGATTTTCTTGTAGTGCTTGTGTTTTGTCCTTAAAAAAACTCAGACATACTTTTGAAAGACTCCTCTATCCAGGTTTATTGAACGTTTGTTGGCACTTTGAAGTTTTGTTTTATGTACCTACCTATGAAATAAAATCGAAGAGGCTATACTTTCACACAGTTTAAACCCCACAAAAAAATTCAATACATGTTTATGAAATTAGTCACTTTTCGGACTTGTTTCCAGGTTGATTGATGTTTTATGGCAGTCGTAGAAAAATATGTTTTTAATATCAATGAAGATATCTCTGTATGATGTAAATAGACTTGTATAAGCAAGATTGTGACAAGGAAAAAACTGCTCATTTTCACCTTTTACAAAATAATTCAATATTTGACATTGGTGTTAATAATAAAATTTAAGAAACATATTTTATTGTTTGTAAATGCTCATATAGGTACTAATGAAGTGTAATTTGTGTTATATCATGAATAGTTGGTGACATTAGAGAGAAAAACTGTTTCTTAGTGGCAAGATACACGAAACCCTGACACAATCAAGAAGTTTTAATATGCATGATAATAAAATGACTTTTGTATGACAAAGCCATCATGATTGTTGAGTTCATTATAATAGGTGCACTAGATAAAAAACAGATGTTCAAATTTCTAACCGCGGAAACATATTCTAGTTGTATACTTATCTGGTGACGTTTTGAAGACTGTATCCATCTTCATTAACAAACCTACCACCAATTTGATATTATCAGTGTCAATAATAATAATAATATGTTTAATGTTTTGATCTAAATAGCTTGGATAAAGAAAATGGATATTCTTTAAAACGTCACTACATGAGGAACTGCAGCAAATTTGGAATACTGCAGGTAAGTTGGAATACCGTGGATACCTAATTATTATAAGTGTCATCTGTGTTTTCTTCTTGTAAACTTATCGTTACACGCCATACGGAGCTAATGAGCTCTAAAAAACGACCGCCATCTTGACATTCCGGCTGCCAGCCTCGTAGAAGCGAAACGTCAAATTTCAAAAGCAATCACTGATAATCATTTACTATGATACACAAAATCTTAATTGTAATTATTTAAAGTAATAAGCGACCTTTTTAGGTAATGGTTTTACTATTATTTTCTTAATATTTCTGAAATTAAAAATGTGATATGAAATTTTAGGTTAGGATGTCATGTTTGTTCGATGTCTATTAATACTATATTTAACGCAATATGATAATCAGCGTCGGCCGCCTCTTTTGCAGTTATTTGTCGCAGTCACTATTTTGATGGCTCCTTAGCTGCGTTCGTAAGGGGTATACCGGGTAGAAATATCTCAGTGACTTCGTGGATGAACATTTGAACATCTGTGAACATTTCATTATTATTCTCTTTGCAAAATTATATTTTTCTTTCTCTTCTTCTGAAATAGGTACTCCACCATGGTTAATATGGGTTTGGCGGGGTGACAAGGTAGTGAACGTTTCTTTAAAGGTAGAATCGTAAGATGTTCAGAACGTATAAACAATTTTGAATCGAATGGTTTTTCGGTTGGAATTTCCTTGAAAATATCTCTCGAAAACTTCCCATACTTTATGCTGCCTAACTTTTAAAACATCATTGTGGAAAGACTGTTAGGTATACGGCCTGATGATTCACGACGAAGTGAAGGTTGTTGGTTTGATGAACGACTATTCTATCACGCCGTCAGAGGATAGTTAAAGAAAAGCGCAAGCAGGTGTCTCTTACACTCCCGTTGTTGTCCATCGTACAACGAAGAAACTTAAGCAGGAAGTTTATGTTACAATGATGATTTTTTTAAATAGGTTAGGTTAGGTTAAAAAAGTTATACGCTTATTCTAATTTAAAAACATTAAAACATCAAAAATTGAAACTAAACAGTGTTCTTCGATTACATTTTGTATTTATCACATTTATTTCACTTTACTCACTCTGAACTAGTTCCGAACTGATTGAACCTGTCTCTTAGTTCGTTACTGGCAGCTGTGTGAATTGGACGCTATCATCTGTGTGTTATAAGAAGTGTTTGCGCTTTTTTCCCGATTATCTTATCATTGGTACATTTGAATATTAATCTCGTGAAAGTGACCCACTTGAAAAAGTCTGGAATCTTATCTACTGAAGGAGATTTTTTTTGAGTAATTTAAACATTTCTGGACAGAATGAGAACTTGAAATCTGATTCCAAGTCTGTTTTAAAAAGACTTTCTACATTCTTTCCTTTGATGGAAATCCAGCTAAATCAGGAACTCGTGGAGAAAACAACTCCGGGAGAGGGAGAAGGCGTCCGCCTGAGCATCCTGGCAAGAAAGAAAGGCCAATGAGACTCTAAAGCCAAACACACCCAAGGAGTAGAATACCGCCGAAATTCTGATGAAGACGAAGTCCAAACTCCTGATTGAAAGAGGAAATTACCCCTCCCCATCAGGAATGAGTTATCCTCTAGCGAGGAGAATGAGCGAACTCCACGAAAGCGCGAAAGGAAGAAGGTCAGGAAGACGTCCAACTCCCCTACCCCTGACCCGGAGAAGAGGAAGGAAAGTGGAAGTGGGAGTCCTAAGAGATCGGAAATCCGTAAGATGTCCATAATAAAATAGATGATATAAAAAAACTATGGATAAGATTAATAAGAAGGTTAACCTCTTCTGTAACAGCAAAACAGAGATTGATCCTGCTCTTAAATTACCCATTAATGGCAATGAGATAAAGTCAGATTGACGCCATAAGGAACCACTATAAAAAACTCTACTAAAGAGTGAAAACTATAGTTTTCACTCTTTCGACGTTTCGGTTTCGACTTTGAAGCCATTTTCAAGTAAGTATGACTACAATGAAGTATTAATCTGCCTGCATCCTAGGTCTCGGCACTGGTCTCTTTACTGCCAAAAACTCCCAAGCATCGACTGATGCCTACCCCAGCAGCCTATGCTTGGGAGGTGTTTTTGTGAAGTGAGTGAAGTGAGTGAAGTTACCTTTCTGGAAATAAAAAAATTAGAAAGAAGTCCAATAGGTCCCATACAATTGAGTGATCCTCCACTTTGGCTTTATTGTTCTGCTTTCTCTCACCAAAGTAAATAATAAAAATCAAGGCCGCTAATATCTTCCCATTTAACTCATTAAGTTTTAGAGATAACTGGACATAGAGTATTTCAAGGTTTGAAATTTACGCTAACAGTATAATTTTAATAAACAATAATTACCTTTCACATTCTCTGTCGAGGAATTCCTCCTGCCGAACTCAGCACTAAAACAAACACTGCCACAGATCCGAAATGAGAAATCTAGACAAATACTGTTATTGGTGATTAAAAGCCGATAAGTTATTGGTTGGTACTCGTTGGAATTCGTTATTTACAACAAAAGAATTACTAGATTAGTGTAATAAAGTCGTGGACAAGATAACATTTCTCTTTTAAAACTGTAAAACTGTGTTGGCAATTGTACATTTCAGGGACGGATATTGGCTCGGGGAACCTGCAAAATCCCGAGTATTGGTGTCTTTGATTTGAACTGAAAACCGGATGAAAGATGTTCATGTTTTGTACAGGGGCGGAGTAGAAAAAAAGTCGTCATCCGTTATTTCAAACTGTCACATAACGCCTCTTTGGTGGTTCATGGTCAACCATAGGTTCTGTTGAACCGGTGTGTCTTCAACAGCAACACTTTTATTTTAAACTCCCCTGTATCCAATACCGGCTTACGATTTCACTACCGATTTTCCTTGAATTTCAGAGCCATTTTCTAGAATTTGTGGCTTGACGCCGGGGCCTCAATCTACCTACTCTCCAGGTCTCGTCACGAGTTCTCTTTAAGGTCTCAATCTGCCTACTCCTTAATTAGATTTAAATTGCGTCATTTTATGTAATTGTAATGTGAATTCTAGTTAAACAACCCGCACTAGGAACCCAACAATATATAAGCTTTTTGCAAATAGGAAGTAAACTCAGATAAAATAATATGTGAACTCTTTCATAGTATCAACTGGTTAGTAAAAAAACACACACTCACATAACGCTTATTCACTTTCTATTTATTTTTCAATCTTCTAGAAACAGCGACTGAGTTCACCAACTATCCTTAAATGTGTGTTGTCTCAGCGTAACCCTCTATTGGTATTTCTTTTGCACCTTTTCCGTTCATTTCTTTCACATTTGCTGAGAGGACAAGACTAGGTTTCTTCTTTTCGCTAAGATACATCCGCCTAGAAAAAAAAATCAGTTTGGTGCGCCATATTTTGTTCTAACTGACTTGAGAATATAAGAATAAAAAATAATCAATGGCTTTCCAATAAAAGTAGCACCTTTCCTGACCCTTTTGGATTCTTATTTATTGTTGTCAAAGTGCCAAATTATGTTATGGCTTTTAGACATAATTCTGAAAATATTTTGTTTTCTGCTGGACTTAACAAGGAACAAATTAAACATGATACAAATATTTTCTTAGCCGGTAATTTATATTTGGTTTTCGTTTTCCAATTTTGCATGAAGTAAACTTTTAGCATGCATCAGACTCTTCCCCTCTACGGGAGTCCTAAG